GTTTCTGTGTAACACCAGCTTAAAAGGGCTCCGTCACGTGATAAGGTATAGATTTTGGAAACCTTTTTAGTTGTATTATCAACTCCAAAAAACGCACCAACAATGACATCCCTGTGCCCTAAAAATAAAAATGGCTTACTGGACTTGCTCAATTTACTAAAGCAAAATAGCCTCACAGTCATATCCTTCGAACCAGCAAGAATGTAATTGGAGTCTGGGCTCCAATCCAGTGAGGTCACCCCATCGTTGCAGTCGGCAAATGTACGTGTCAACTCAAAAGGGAAAAACTCTTTTCTGAAACCAGGAGAGCGCCATATCTGGAGGAGCTTGCCAGCAGCAACCGCAATAAAGTGGCCATCGGGGCTAAACTTGGCGGCGGATACGGGATGCTTGAAGGTGATGCGATGGAGCACAGTACGCCTGCGAAGGTTAATGAAGAGGCACCGGTTCTTCTCATCGATTGCGAGGAGAAAGACGCCGTCAGGGGAGGCCGAGATGCGACGAAGGTTTGAGGAGGATTGGCATGGTAAAGTTACGGTCTCTGATTTGACCAGATCGGTGACGGAGACCCGGTTACCGACGGGAGAAATTAACAAGGTGTTGTTCGATACAACGACGTTTCCGCCTCTGTATGGAGCCCCGAGCAGGTTCTGAAACCTGTAATTCATGGTGATGTGAGGAGGAAGAGAACGAAGAAGAGAGGGGGCTGCTAAACCTGGGTGGATTGAGCTGAGCAGCCCACCAGTTTCCTTAAACCCTACTGATAATTGTTCGGGAGATTCTAGGTACAGTTAGGGGCGTACAAAATAGGGGTAGGACCGCAAAACAGGACCGGACCTGACCGGAAAAACCGGCTCCAGACTAGATCGGTAAAATTCCGGACCGGTCTCCGATCTAAAGATTTTGGACCGGTAAAATTCCGGTCCATTCCGGTTCAAGACCGGATCGTTTCCGGGTCGGACCGGTAAGACCGGATTGTCTATTTTTTTTTTAAAAAAAAATAATACCTATGATACGGAGTTTACGTATAATTATAAATACAATTGTATATTTTCATTTATTCTTCTTACTTTAATATGAAGTATAATTTTTTAAATGTAATTTATATTTTTTAATTCATTTCATTGACCTTTACCTAAGAATATCCATAATTATAAAAAACTAATATTATTTCTCAAAAATTGAAGTAAAATCTTTCGATTTAAAGTATTAAATACTTTGACGTATAAATTAGACTTCCTAAAACCAAAGTAATTTAAAGTAAAACTTTATAATATTTTTTAAATTTCAAAACTAACGGAAGTATAAAAATCATTTTACACCTATTATATTGTTGATAAAAATATTTTATATTAATATAATTTCTTGAAACACACCCAATTTATATAAAAATTAAATGTAGGATTGATATCAATTCAAATCAAGCTGCAAATTTAAAAAAAATATAAAAAATAGATAAAAAGAAATAGAAAAAATAAATTCCGGGTTTTTCGGTTTTACCCGGACCGGACCGGAAAAAACTGGTCTGGACCGGTCCGGACCGGAATCTAACCGGTCCGGTTTCCGGTCATATGCTTTAGGGGATTCTGGGTTTCCGGTTTTTGTCTGATCCGGTCCGGTCCGGTTCTGGACCGGTGTACACACCCCTAGGTACAGTATACCCCAAAATATATCCCAAATCTACACCACGTCTACATGCCTCTTTACCATTGATTTTATTTAGAATAAAATTCCATAAAAGGTTTCCAGTTATAGGTCTTTTTCCATATTTAGTTCCTACATATCAAATATTACTAATTTAGTCTTTAATTATTATATTCATTTTCACGAATGGTCCTTTGTTAACATTTCCGTTGAGAACATGAATAAAATTGTATATTCATACTTCTTTCTCTCTTCAATTAAACTTTCTCCCTCCTCTCGTACTTTTTTCCAAACTCGTCACTGAGTTTGAAGCTCTAAACCCAAAACTGAAATGATCATTCATCTCTCAATTATTAGTCTTCATGGTGGAACCTAAAATCAAAATTAATAAGCTTTATGGATGAGTTTTATCGGTTAGTCTCAAAAATTGCAAAGAATATAAACATTAAAACTCATCCATTAGGTTACAGGTTTCGATTTTGGGTTCTACCAGTTAGACAAACAATTGAGAGAAAATTGATGATTTTAATTTTGGGTTCAAAGCTTCAAATTTAGCGACGGATTTGGAAAAGGAGTGTGAGGGGAGGGCGGAAGCTTAATTGAGGAGAGAAAGGAGTATGAATTTACAATTTTATCCACGTTCTTAATGCAAATGTTAACAAAGGACCATTCCTGGAAATGAATATAATAATGTGAAATTTGCACTAAATAGGACTAAAACATAATGACTTTCCTAATGTAGGACTTAAACTTTTTTATTCCTTAAATAGGACTTATTAATGACCTAGTGGGATAAATAATGTCCAGAAATGATGGACATTTACTTGAATAATGACTACTTGATAATGACCAAAGGTCCTATATGAGAAAATAAAAACATATAGTCCTATATTAGGAAAGTCATTATGTTTTAGTCCTATTTAGATAAATTTCTCTATAATAATTGGGGACTAAATTAATAATATTTGATATGTAGGGACTAAATATGTAAAATAACCTATAACTGGGGACCTTTTATGAAATTTACTACTCTTTTATTTATTATTATTTTTTTGAATTTTTAATTTATGTGGTTATGGAGGGGTGGGGATATTTGGGGTACACCAAAGTATTTTCCTAATTATTTTTGCCTCGCTCCTCTTGGGCAGTCAAGAGTACAAAAATACCCTTAATTCAAATTCTTTTTGTTAGCCATGTATAGACTACTCCCTATAAAGTTTTTTTGAGGTAAAGTCGCCCTAGCAATACAAAATTGTCTTACTTTCAACTAATTTTGACTCTGTTTTCGCAGGTATCACTAGTATCGACGCTTCATTTGTTGGGATATGACCAAATGAGTAAGGGTAAATGGTGAATACTAATTCGTAGGTCTAAGCCAGAGGTTGGGGTCTTTCTTGTGGTGGGGCCGCAATGCGGTGAGCTGGCTTGAATAAAAAGTTTATCCTCCAGAATTTTGCCGGTGAACATTCCGCAATTGGAAAAGGAAAAACTGCCAATGGAGTAAGACTCCTGACAGCTCTCTTCTTCCAATTTACGATCAAAGTCTAATTTACCCCCTTTGGTGACCTTCTGGCCGGGTCTGAAGGGTCCTCGGGGATTGGGTTAGAGTATAACATTCCTATCATTTTAAAAATAATTTATCTTTTATTTTGAAAATGATTTATCTATTTGTTTCAAAATAACTTATCTTTTTGTTTCACAATTTCATGTCAAAATGACATAAAATTGTGTCCAATTGTAAAAAAGAGTTTAAGACTCCTAATTGAAATATCTCAGAGTACAGCAGAAATCACCAATAAAAATAAGCTATACAAACAAATTGATCAACTCTGTCGTTGAGAACGATGTTGCAAATAGAGCGCTATAACACATTCTCTATTACAAGCACACACAGAGAAGGAGATGATGCAGAGGGTGTTAAAGCATCTACAGTGCAAAATGCTGTAAATATAAAAAGCGTAAAGAATGATACTATAGTGGAGATTATACACTACGCCAAAAACAGTATCAGACGACTGTTGATTAACTACTGTTTATGGAAACACAGTAGTTTAAAAAAACAGACTACTGTGAGTTTTTCTTGGCTACAGAACAGTAGTATAGCTACTATGCTTTAAAACTGTTTTTAAAGTTTCGAGAAACAGTAATCTATCATTAGTTGTATATGTCAGTTCAAAATACAGTTTTTGTTACAGCAGTTGTTAATAACAAGTTAAGAATACTCTTTTTAAACAGTAGTCTGGTGTTTAAGTCTAGAACTGTTCTTAAACTTATTAGAAACAGTTATCTATTGTTAGTTGTCTGTTTCATATGGTTTTTTTTGCAACTATCGTTTCTAATGGGAATAGAAAACTCTATTGTAACAGTAGTCTATGAATTAAGGGTACAACTGTTTTTAAAGTTGTGAGAAACGGTAATCTTTTATTAGTAGTCTGTTTCACCTAAAAATACAGTTTTTGTTGCCACAGTTGTCCATAATTAGTTAAGACTACTATTTCCAAACAGTAGTCTAGTGTTTCAGTTTATAACTGTTTTTAAACTTATAAGAAATAGTATTCTATTATTACTTGTATGTTTCATATGGTTTTATTTTGCATAGTTGTTTGTTATAAGAATAGAAGACTCCCTTGTAAGAGTAATATATATTTATATAGCATAGAACTATTTTTAAAATTCATAGAAACTATAATCTGTTACAAGTTTTTAATATTAAATAAAGAATACCTTTTTTAAACAGTAGTTAGACTATTAATCCTAGAACTATTTTCAAAGTTTTGAGAAACCATAATATATTACTAGTAATGTGTGTCACACATTTTTTTCATGGTTATCTATAATAACTAAAAAAACTGTTCTTAAGAGAATTGTGCGTATTAAGCCTAGAACTATTTTATAAGTTAAGAATAATCGTTTTAAAAAGTAGTCTAGCTCTTAAGCCTAGAACTATTTTAAAGGGAATTGAAAACTCATACAAACAATCAATCCCACTTCATAAAACCAAAAAACAATAAGAAGATGACGAGATGCAAATAAGAGTACACAAAATTTAATAAAACCAAAATTAAGAGTACATTGGCTTGCTTCAATCCAAAATAGAAAACAAAAAAAACCACAAAGAATGAAAATTCATATTCTAAAATTGTAACGCTCTGAATACCGGTCTAGCCGTTTGGATAAAAAAAATATAAACAATCGAACTCAATCAGATAAGAAGTTTAAAGTATTGAACTAAAAAAATATTATATCAAGTAGTTAAGTTTGACACTCTAATCCCAAAAATATAACTAATGTTTTTTTTAAAAAAAATGTTGAAACAAAATGAAATTAATTTAAAACATTAGCTTTTCCTTAAATCCAAAGGTCAAAGATATGTATTGTCATTAACTCAATTAGCCTCCAAAGGCCAATTACCATCATTGCATATGCTATGCCACCACTATAAATATCATCAAACAATACGGAGTGCAAGGAAGAAAATAGTACTCCCTCCGTCCTAAAATTAATTTCCTAGTTTGACTTTTGCAGTCAAACTTTTTAAACTTTGACCGTATATTACGGAAAAAATATATTGAATTTTCATATAAATTTATTGTCAATAGATTCATTTTGAAACATAGTTTTGAAATATGTTATTTTTGTAATATATATTCATATAAAAATGGAGATATTAATGGTCAAAGTGTTGCATTGGAGACCGTGAAAAGTCAAATGGGAAGTTAATTTTAGGACGGAGGGAGTAGATTATTAACTACCACGTAAAAAGACCAAATCTTGAAGGTAAGGGTGCCAATTACACAAAGATTGGTTTTTAGCCATGGTTTTACTCTCCCCAATGGCTTAAGCTTGACCCTTTGCCTTTGTGGAAGAGGGAACAACATCCTCACCCCTCTTAGTCTTTCGCACTGCTGGTTTTGGCATAGCAGCATCACCATTACCATCCACAATAGATTCATCTCTTCATACATTTTTTGTACATGGATCTTTGATCTGCCATTGAAAACAACCAAGGTAATAAAGTATAAATAAAACACAAAATGTAAATTTTTTATGTTTAGAAATCTTAAAAATGTTAAGGCTAAGGAATGAGGGGCTATTTGGTGTGTTTATATATGGAAATTTCATATAAGGAGTCAAAATTTGAAGAGCCAAATTTGAAGAGCCAAAATTGAAAATGAAGGGCTGCGCTTCAATAGCCAAATTTGGATTTCCAATTTATAAAGAGTATGCAGAGTATCCCTAACACCAAGCCAAGCACATATATCCAAAGTATCAGAGGTAATCAAATTGAAAGATATGAAATTGAAGAAAAAACAGAATGCAATAACAACCTCATGATGCACAAAAAACATAATGGGCAGTAACAACCTCTGAAACAAGAGCTTGCACTAGAGGGGGTCTTGTTCTTCGAGTTGACATCTTGGACTTCTTTTCTAAAGATGCTTCCTCAATCTGTTGGGTGCAGGGCTAAAAAAAGAGGGACAAAACAAGCAGTAATATATATTGGAAAAGTTGACAGCAAAAAAATTATAAAGAATAAGTACAGCAAAAATTTTATCAGCAGAAATGATAAAATATTATTCAAATTGAAGAACATCACACCTTTGATTCAAAATCTACGAAACAAATACTTATGGATTGATTCCAAACAAATCTAAGAAACATATAATAAGAACAACACACCTCGATTCCGAACCAACGCCGAGTCAGATGCCCAAATATTTTGTCGATACAAATACTTATGGATTAGCAATTTGATACAGAACAAACAGTTTAACAAATTAAAATTAAAATTTGTGTAGAACCTGGAAAAAATATATGTGTACGGTGAGCGGGGGGAATGGAAATTCAGCAAGGCTAGAGTCATCTAAAAAATATGGTGTGGCTAAAATTAATTGAATGAGATAGGGTTGAAAAGAGGGGGATGCCAAATGCTTTTTGGGAAATTCCAGCGCCCAAATTTTGGGAAAGAGGGATCCGAATATTTTTGGGGGATTCAAAAATTTTGGCTTACTTTACACACTTTTTAAATTTGTACTCCTTTCAATTTATATTATCTGTTTCGATTTACAATATTTGATAAATTTTATTTTTAAATCATTTTACATGAAAAATGATGTAATAATAAAAAATAATGGGATAATAGCATGGGTGCCCCCGTGGTTTACAAAAGGAGCACCAAAACCCCATCTACTTTCAAAAGTAATTTGTAAAACCCATGTGGTTTTTAAATAGTGCAAAGGGCCCCTCTTGCCTATTTTTAGACATAAAATGACATTTTTGCCCTTTATTTTTCTCTATCTTCAAATTTCACTTTTTTATTTGCATTTTTGTTATACAAATAATAAAATAAAATATGCGCCCTCTTTCTCAAATTAAAATTTTTCATTTATTTAATTTTCAAAAAAAATAAGTTTTTTTTAGAAAATGTTACAAAAGAAAATGAAAAATTTAAAAATGAAGTAAACTACACTTTTTCATTATACGTAAAAGTAAAATAAATAAAGTAAAAAATAAGAGAACATATACTCACTCTTTCTCTAATTAAAGATTTTAACTTATTTATTTTTTAAAAGTAAAATAGTTTTTTAAGGACTTTAAAAATGAAGAACAAAAAAATGAAAAAAAATAGAGTTAAAGAAAAGACCGATTTTTATATTTTTCTTTCTTTTCATTACCTTTTTCAATTACTATTTTTACTTTGTACATAATTTTTCATTTTCTTTTGTAATATTCTCCAAAATAAGTAAAGGGGGCATGTGTGCTATATTTAGAAATCATACGACTTTACAAGTAACTTTTGAAAACAGAGAGAGCTTTGACGCTCTTTATGTAAACCACAAGGGGGGAAGCATGCTATTAGCCAATAAAATTACTAAGGATAAACTTTTTTACCAAATGTTTGTTTTTCTTTGTATTTTTTTAAAGTTTTTCCATATTATCTACGTTCTACTCTCTTCATCTCATTTGAATCTCTTTATTGTAGGTATTGATAATGTAAATTACCTGACCGGGTAAACAGTACTAGACCGGGTTTCAAATTGTTTACTAGATTCGGGAAAGTAAAAGGCAAAACACACAAAATAACCAGAATGACTGTATGTGGAAACACAGGTAGCCCAATTAATATTCGAATATAGTAGAGTGCACGAGAGCTTTTACACGTCGCACATCCACGTCAGGGCACGTTCCTGGGAGGTGCGAGGCGACTGTCTATGTCCTCTAGTAGCCTTGTCACCTAGTGAGAAAGGTGACTGTCAATTAAGTTGTTTTTTTAAGATTTGATCTGATCCTAATATATTTGAATTTGATTTGATTTGATTAGATCTATTTTGGTCTGATTCAATCTAATTAGATCCGATATGATTTTTTAAATATTTGATTTAATCTTACTAGATTTGAATTTGATTTGATTGGATATTTTTGAAGATTTGATCTGATCTTATTGGATTTGACTTTGATTTATTCCAATTAGATCTGTTTTTGTCCGATTTGATCTAATTAGTCCGATTAGTTGTGTATAAAACTCTTTTAATTCGATCTAGTCTAATCTGATATGATGAGATCTGATTTCATTAGATATCATCTTGTAACGCCCCGAAATTAGGCATAAAAGAATTAATTAAATTAAATATTAATTAATGACTGAGACAGACCCGAACACTGAAAAATTAAAGTTTTCAGAAAAATATTTTAATTATATCAAAATTTTAATTTTGACGGTCTGATTCCAAATTTTCGATCCGTTTTCAATTCGGAACAGTTTGGGCGAAAAAGCGCGTACCGTTTTAGCCAGTTTATCAGTTACGGAGTAGGAGAATAAATTTGATTCCCCAAACCCTCCAAATCACGTAGAGACATTCCCCCATCCTTTCCAATCCTCAATCAGTTACGGGACTTATTATTATTATTATTATTACTATTATTATTATTATTATTATTATTATGGTAAGGAATTATTTATAGTTAGTTATTTATTGTTAGGGAATAATATATTTGTTAGGTGATTATTTAGTTTCCTAGTTTATTTAGTTACCTTTTATAATTAGGATTCTTAATTTATTTAGTTACCATTTATTATTGAGATTTTCTAGAGTTGGAGCCTATAAATGTATCAATCACCATAGTATTATCAACGAATGAATAAAGAAAATACTTTCTACTAAATCTTAATCTCTCTCTTTCTCACCTCTTTTGTTCTTGGAGCTCGAAGGTGCTCGAAATTCTTCCCTATCCCGATACGATACCGTATCATGTTTCTTCACCATTTTCGCGTCGTTTCTTTCCAAATACTTACCGTCAACTCTCTCGTGGTTATTAGGAACTTCCGGAGATTATTTTGAAGAAGATTGGGCGTCGGAAGCTCAAAGTTGATAGGGGTGACCGTACGTTGAACGTTCGTTGAGGCGTATTATTTTCTTTCCATCATTCCGACCTCTACGATATCAAGGCGAGTACATTTCACCCTAGTAACGCAATCCTTGGTTGAATATCAATCTAGATATATCGTTAGGATTGATTTCCATATTATAAGTCATTTATGCTTTATGATCAAACTCATTGAACTCATAAAGTAAAAATATGTTTTCTTGATACTTTACTTTAAATGAAAATATAAGTGTTAAGAATACTTCAAATACATAGATATGTTAATCATAAGTGTTAAAATAACTCAAAGAAGTATTTTAGATATCCAAAAATATCAAAAATAGGATTAGCAGACCGAACGATTGACGTAAACGGTCAACCGTCGCATTAAAAATCGAAACGGAGCAAGACTGTCAGACAAACGGTCGACCGCCGGTGGCCAACGGTCGACCGTCGCCTGCCCAGCCAAGAACCAGCGTCGCCACTTAGTCAACAACGGTCGACCGCCGGTCAACCGCGGTCGACCGTCACGGTAATCCGGCATCTCGACGTAAAGAAGATCAAGGTCGACCGTCCCGCCAAACGGTCGACCGTTCCGAGCCCCGTAGCTTAATTAAATGATATTTTTATCAGATTTCACCCAAATAAAATAAAGTATATTTATCCATTCATATTGTTTACAAATTGTTCATATAATATGATTCATTTCATCATCCATATGGAAGCATATCACATCATGTGCATGCGTAAGAGATCATGCGTAATTGCGTCTCTTATAGTGTGATGTGCGGGACTTACTAGTCCGGCATCACCCGTTTCGGGCTTAGTGTACGTACAAGGTATTCGGGCTTCGAGTACCACCCCTACTTTCTAGTCTCCCTTGAGAGACTAAGGCCGCGTGAGTTCGTCGTACCAAATGAGCGAATCTCATAGCGCAAGGGTGTCCTTGCTCGTTAGAATCATACAGCATGAAATCATCAAGTACAATCATTATGACTATGTATGGCATCAATTACATATCATTATCATTATCTTGAACATACATGCTATATTATGTCATATCATGAATAATTGTATGTCTACTTGTTATTCAACTTGGAATTGTTGTATTAGCGTATTCCTCAGCTGACGCTGAGCGTGTAGTTTGTTTTACTTGCTACACGCAGGTAATGATACTAGTCATAGAGCCCATCCCGGAGGTCAATGAGAGTGAAGAGATGTACGGTCTGGTGGACCATATTTATGATGCTTTAATTAAATAAATACCTTTTCGTGCAAGTACCTAGAAAAATGTAAAACAATTTGATTATGTTTTATATTTAAGCTTCCGTACTGTTTCAATTATACTCTGAATTTAATATTTGAAATTATCACTTATGTTAAAGTTTAAATGGGTTTTAAATTGTCCTTCAAATTACCATGCGTATTTACCATCATGGTAACTACTCCGGCTCAAATAATCTAGGTAATTGGGTTATTCGAGTTGGGGTGTTACATTTTGGTATCAGAGCATTCGATCTAAAAAAAATGATTTTGGAAATCAAATTAAAAGAGTTTCAAACACAAGTCCGCATCTCTCCACATCTCTGCCCGGGAAGGTAAAACAATTAGTTTACTTATGACTAATTACAATTTAAATTAATTATAGAATGAGTCAGGACTCGACTCACGGTCAAGCAAACCCTCACGCGGAGCCTAAGCACGTTAGTGTGCATACGGTGCACACTGAAGCATCCAGTTACGTGCCCCAGCAGCCGCAGCCTCAGCCAGAACCTCAGCCCGTTCCGGAGCAGTTTGCGGGTCAGAACCCGAATTTAGCCATTCTGATGTTCCAACCACAAATGGTTGCGAACATGTTCCAGTTCTTCCAGTAGATGGCTGGAGCGCACGTACCACCACCACCTCCTCCTCCTGCACCCATTGTCTCGATTGAAAAACTCAAGAGGAATGGGGCGCAGGAATTCTATGGCGACCAGATAGCGGACCCTCAAATAGCCAAGCGTTGGCAAGAACGCACGGTGAGGGTACTCGAGAATTTGAAGGTACCTGTCGAGGATTGGGGACTGCACGCCATATCCCTATTGCAAGATGCCGCCTATGATTGGTGGAAAAGAGTGGGCGCCAACATTCCCGTGCCAGTACCATGGACTACCTTCGAGCCACTCTTCAGAGCAGAGTATGTGCCCGATCACTATGTAGAGGCCAAATATGAGGAATTCTCCAATTTCACTCAAGGGAAGCTGACTCTTCCCGAATACCGTCAGCAGTTTGACGGATTGGCCGAGTTTGGTAAAGACTTGGTCAACACCATGGAGAAGCGCTGCAAGAAGTTCATCAAGGGTATGAGACCAGACCTGTCGTCAACACTCATAATTGCTCCCCGAGCCGACATCAACGATGTCTATAAGAAAGATCTTGAGCTGAACGAGGAACTCATTAGGAAAGCTGCGTATGAACAGGCACTACTCGCAGAAAGTCGGGCCGTCCATTCAGGCCCGAAAATGGGGCATGGGAGCAAGAGGACTTTCTCCGCACCGAGCAACTCTCGCCATGATAAGCGAGCGAAATCTACTCCCTCTACATCTGTGGCCGTCACTAGTAAGAGCGGGAAGGAGAAGATGACATACCGTAATCCAGTATGTCCACACTGTAACCGCAGACATGCTGGTGAGTGTTGGTTCACACAGGGTCTTTGCCTCGGGTGTGGTCAGGCAGGTCACTTCCGGAACGATTGCCCGACGAACCCAAGCAAGGCTTTCTCCACGGCACCAGGCACGCTGACTGCTCCTCCTGTCCGAAGGGCCGAGCCTACCCAGAGTCATCGTTTTATGGCCACGTCCAACCAACCAAAGAAGCCAGCAACTAGTCAACAGCAGGGACGAGCACCAGCTCGTACATATGCCATGCAAGGGCGTACAGACCCGCAGGCTGATGATGTCATCATGGGTATGTTCACTTTATTTGATATCACTGCATCTGCATTAATTGACCCTGGATCTACCTTATCATACATATGTGTACCTATGCTTTTTACATCTGACGTCACTAAGGAAACTCTTGAGCATCCGATAGTTGTGTCGAACCCACTGGGACACAGTCTACGTCTCCAACATGTCTATAATCAATGTCCGTTGATGGCTCAAGGAAAGATATTCTTGGCCGATCTCATTGAACTCCCTCACAAGGAGTTTGACGTTATACTTGGCATGGACTGGCTGTCGAAACACCAGGCTATTGTTGAGTGCAAGGAACGAGTGGTGAAACTTTGTACAGACGACGGTAACGAAGTAATCATTCGGGGAGAACTTCTCCCAAAGGCCCCAGAATTCATCTCTTTTATGCAAGCAAAACGGCTCATTCGCAGGAAATGCGAAGCATTCTTGTGCACTGTTAAGGTATATGCCTTCCTTTGTGGATTGGTATTCCTGTATAGACACCAAACACTAAAAGGACTACATAAGGGACTGGAACTTCCAGGTCTACCTCCTTCAAGGGAAGTAGAATTTTCTATTGATCTTGTACCCGGTACAGGACCCATCTCAGCATCACCTTATCGAATGGCCCCTGCAGAAATGAAGGAATTGAAAGCTCAACTGCAGGAGTTGTTAGATAAGGGTTTCATCCGTCCTAGTGTTTCCCCGTGGGGAGCACTTGTCCTTTTTGTCCGTAAGAAAGATGGATCGATGAGACTATGCATTGACTATCGCCAGCTGAACAAAGTGACGATCAAGAATCGTTATCCTTTACCCCGTATTGACGACCTGTTTGATCAATTACGAGGTGCGACTATTTTCTCAAAGATCGATCTCAGATCAGGTTACCACCAGATTCCTGTGAAACCAGAAGACATTCCAAAGACAGCATTTTGTACGCGTTACGGACACTACGAGTTTACCGTTATGCCCTTTGGCTTAACGAACGCACCAGCTGTATTCATGGATCTCATGAATAGCGTTTTCAGACAGTATTTGGATCAATTTGTTGTGGTCTTCATCGATGATATTTTGGTCTACTCAAAAACACCAGAGGATCATGCTGAACATTTGCGCATCGTGCTGAGTATTTTGAGAGAGCATAAACTCTATGCCAAACTTTCTAAATGTGAGTTTTGGCTGAATGAGGTCACTTTTCTCGGTCACGTGATTTCTGCAGAAGGAGTCAAAGTTGACCCGTGCAAAATTTCAGCAATCACTGAATGGAAAACTCCACGCAATACCCGTGACGTACGGAGTTTCCTTGGACTCGCTGGTTATTATCGCCGCTTCGTGAAGGATTTCTCTCGAATCGCTACACCACTGCATAAACTGATGAAGAAGGATGTCAAATTCGCTTGGACAGAAGCTTGTCAGAAAAGCTTTGAACAGTTGAAAGAATGTTTGACTCAGGCACCCGTGTTAGTTCAACCGACACCTGGTACTGAATATACAGTTTTCAGTGACGCATCACATCAGGGACTTGGGTGTGTACTGATGCAGGAAGGCAAGGTCATAGCTTATGCATCACGACAGCTGAAACCCCATGAATGCAATTATCCGACTCATGACTTGGAGTTAGCAGCTGCTGTTCTTGCATTGAAGATTTGGAGGCATTACTTATATGGCGAGACGACTCGCATCTTCACCGACCATAAGAGTTTACAGTACTTGATGAGCCAGAAGGAGTTAAACCTTCGACAGAGAAGGTGGCTAGAGTTAATTAAGGACTATGACTGTCACATCGCTTATCATCCTGGTAAAGCGAATGTGGTAGCCAATGCTCTTAGTCGTAAGACTCTTGCTGAACTCCGCATACGACCTACGTTGGATCAGGATATCATTTCAGCACAGCGTCAGGATACTTTTTGTCTTGAGACGCGTGAGCTTGTTTCCAAAGGAGAGAAACAAGACTTCTCTGTTCGAGATAATGGTACACTATACTATCGAGATCGTTTGGTAGTACCATCAGGTGATGTGAGAGATCGCTTATTGCGTGAAGCTCACGGAACCGTGTATACCATGCATCCCGGAAGTAACAAAATGTTCCAGGATCTGAAGAGACACTACTGGTGGTCAGCTATGAAAAAGGAGATTATCGAATTCACATCGAGGTGTATGACTTGTCAGCAAGTCAAAGCAGAACATCAGGTACCCACAGGACTTTTACAGCAGATCACTATTCCTGAGTGGAAATGGGACCGCATTACGATGGATTTCATAATCGGATTACCATTGTCCCCGAAGAAGAATGATGCGGTATGGGTTATTGTTGATCGTTTGACAAAGTCAGCGCATTTCTTACCAATTCGGCGAGATTTTACACTTCAGCGTTTGGCCGAATTGTATGTCCGCGAGATTGTCAGGCTACATGGAGTACCATCGTCTATCATATCAGACCGCGATCCCCGATTTACTTCCCAATTTTGGAAGAGCTTACAGAAAGCTCTTGGTTCTAAATTACATTTCAGTATGGCTTTCCATCCTCAGACCGACGGACAGTCCGAGAGGACTATTCAGATTCTTGAAGATATGATGCGAGCTTGCGTCATTGATTTTGAAAACAATTGGGAAAAATATCTTCCTCTCATGGAATTTGCCTATAACAATAGTTATCAGGCAAGTACTAAAATGGCTCCGTATGAAGCACTGTACGGGAGGAAGTGTCGAACACCAGTTTGTTGGACTGAGCTGAGTGAGAGAAAACTCGAGGGTCCAGAACTCGTGCGCGAAACAGAGGAGAAAGTTCAGTTGATCAGAGAACGACTTCATATAGCAGCAGACAGACAGAAATCTTATGCAGATCTCAAGCGACGCGATATCGAATATGCTGTTGGTGATAGGGTATTCTTGAAGGTTTCTCCTTGGAAGAAGGTTTTACGTTTTGGCAAAAAGGGGAAACTCAGTCCGAGGTTTATAGGCCCATACAAAGTTACAGAACGTGTGGGACCTGTAGCCTACAGGTTGGAATTACCGCCAGAACTAAACAAGATTCACGACGTTTTCCATGTATCGATGTTGAGGAGGTACAGATCAGATCCCTCTCACATCATTCCAACAGAGACTGTCACTCTCGATGAGAATCTTTCCTATGAAGAGGAACCTGTAGAAATTCTTGTGCGAGAAGTTCGAGTATTGAGGAACAAAACTGTACCCTTAGTCAAGGTGCTTTGGAGGAGTCACTCTGTCGAAGAAGCAACCTGGGAAACTGAGGAATCTATGCGATCTCAATATCCACAACTTTTCAGCGACCAGTGATCAGGTAATTTCGAGGACGAAATTTTTTAAGGGGGAGAGAATTGTAACGCCCCGAAATTAGGCCTAAAAGAATTAATTAAATTAAATATTAATTAATGACTGAGACAGACCCGAACACTGAAAAATTAAAGTTTCCAGAAAAATATTTTAATTATATCAAAATTTTAGTTTTGACAGTCTGATTCCAAATTTTCGATCCGTTTTCAATTCGGAACAGTTTGGGCGAAAAAGCGCGTACCGTTTTAGCCAATTTATCAGTTACGGAGTAGGAGAATAAATTTGATTCCCCAAACCCTCCAAATCACGTAGAGACATTCCCCC